AACTCAAGGCACAAAGCTTACAAGCTAGAATGAACCAAGGCTATGCAAAACAATGCATGCATGACCAAGACAACACCAAACAGAGCTTAAATATGGTAAAACATAACTAAAAGCTCATTTGAGCTGAGCCAAAATATGTAAGCATGATGGTCCAAATGCATGATGCATGTTAAGACAAATGAGAGGATTGCAAGGCAAGTGTATGATGCATGCAAGAGACCACTAACTTAAAATAGAGGTATTGCATGCCAAGATAACACCGAATACTTGCTGAAATGGGGCCAAAACATGCTATGCAAACATGCTACCAATGTGAACCAATAACACAAGCATATGAGACATAAGGAGAGAGGAGTGTCCCTCTCCTATTCAAGACTTCAAAACCACTTCTCCACCCTTGAAAATCCTCTGGATTTCAGTGGCGAGAAGGCCAAGACAAGATGGTTCCAAAGCTCAAACATAAAAGCACAAAACAAGGCCAAACAAGGCATAAGAGGGGGTGGACAACCCCCAACCAAAAAATGACCTTAAACAAACATCTTAAGCATACAAAATCAGAACTTTTTACAGTTTATAGCTAAGCTTAAAACAATATGCAAGTAGGTCTAAAAGCTTAAGCAAGAAAGGGGGATCTAAAGCAAGAATGCTCACCCTTTAAGAACACCTTCAAGAACAAAGCTCCAACACTTTTCTCTGATCAAAACCACCTCAAGAACTATAACATCAACTCCCTAGCACCCCAGCAACCAAGGATAGTGTAATGCTAGGTGTTTGTGTGCAATAGTAAGAACAAAACACCCTTTTGAGCTCAAACACACACCCAAATCTAGAGAGAGGGAGATATATAGAGAGAGATATATATAACTTGTATATCAGATTTCTAGAACCCCTGGAAAGGGAGAGGAGGCTCTCCTTTTATAGAAATCCAATTTTGCAAAGCTTCTTGGAGAAGCTAAGCAAGGCTCAAATCCCTCCATACACGTATATGGAGGGGGGAATTGTACGTGCTAAACCCTAAACCTCTAAACCCTAAACCCTAAACCCAGCTGGCATAAAATATCTGCATAAAGCAGATGAACAGGGTTCGGCCACCAAATATGGCCAATTGACCAACATGAAGGGCCGACCGACCAAAAAAAGTGCCAATCGGCCAACACTTTTGGCCGATGGCAAGAAAACAAGGCCGATGGCTTCAAGCCTTGGCCGGTGGGTTGAGGGGATGGAAAACAAGCCACCTTCTTCCCTCAGAAGCAAAACCACAAGTCCTTGGTCTACAACCAAGCACAAAACAAACAAGTTGAGAGATCCTAAGGCAAGGCGTGCAGCCGAGACCTTCGCGAACTCAAAACGAACACGAGCATGGATGATCATCGAGTGTTTAAACGATGACGTCCAAGTCTTGAGGATGGTCAAAAATGGGGTGTCTACAGTTGCCCTTCTTTGACAGAACTCAAAAGTCATAAGATGACAGGAGTGAATGTCAAAGCCTAGAGACTAGGGATGACAATCTGAAACCGGCCCGACGGTGACCCGACCCCCTGACCCCGAATTCAGTGGTTATTCACCCAAAAATATCCCCTACGGGCCGGGGATGGTATTAAAAAATTCATCCCCGATGATATCCGGGCCGGGGACGGGGATAGGTGTTTCAGACCCGGCTCCGGCCCTGACCCCCGCCCCCGGCCCCGCCCCGCTTAATTCCCGAGGTGAAATTACCATCCAGCCCCTGGATATATATATGCTTCCATTTGTTTAGGGTTTGACGCAAAGACACAAACACACACTCAGCCTCTGCCTCTCACTCACACGGCGCTCATCTCTCTCTCGCTCGCCACCGGTCTGTCTCTCACTCTCTCTTTCATCTGTCACCGCCGCGCCTTCCTCCTCACCGGCGATCCTCCGTCACCACCGAGCCTCTCACTCACACACGGCGCTCCTCTCTCCCTCTCGCTCGCCACTGGTCTCTCCCTCTCTCTTTCATCCGACACCGCTGTGCCTCCCTCCTCACCGGCGATCCTCCCTCACCGACACTCCTCTGTCGCTGCTCTCTCCGTTTAGATATCTCTCTCTCTCTGTGTCTCTAGGGATTTCGATTAGGGTTTACATATATGTATATTATATATATATATATATATATGAGTATATAGATCTGTTTATTTTAGATCTGTATATCTAATCTGAGAAGTGTATAGATCTGTTTTTTTTTTCTTCTCTCTGAATTTATTTATTTTATACATATATATATATATATATATAAATATATCTGTTTATATATTTCTTCAACCTTTGTTTATCTGTTTAGATCTTTTATTTTATATGTTGTTGAAGAGGATGATGTTGATGAAATTTAATTCATTATAAAAGTTGAAAGTTGAAATTTCATTATGCTTCATTATGATTCACTTATAGCATTTGATATTGTTGAAAGTTGAAATTTTTTATGATTCATTATGCTATTAGTTGATTCATTATGCTATTAGTTGACTGAAGAGAACAACAATCCTAATACTACAAAAATTACTAAGAAAATGATATGTAGGACCATAGTTATTCTAACTTGACTCACATTTTTTATCAATTTTAAATTTACATCATTCACTTCTTTTAAGAAATAGATTTCAAAGTTAAAATTTGTTAATTTGTTAATTTCATTCAAATAATTCTCTAACTTCTCAAATTGATTTTGTTTTACCCTTATGTGACATTCTATCCTCTTTTAGCAATTAAGTTGATCAAATAGGACGAATTTAAACGATAAATCGATAAATTTATTTCTAAAACCTTTTTCCTAGTATAAATTTATGCTAAGGTTTCTCAGTTTATCCTTTAGTTAGGGCCTATATAATGTATTTAACGGCTAACTTAAGGGTTATATTGAATTAATTTAGAAAGTTGAGGGTTTAATTAAAAAACAAAAAAAAAATTAACTGAAGGACTTAATCAAAAAAATAAAAAGTAGCCCTTATTTAAACATAATTTACTCTTTTAAATAATAGTTTGGCAAGCATGTTCACCATGACATATTTATAGGAGTTAGAGTGACGGTTACTTGGTTTGGTAGTTATTGATGTAAGAAAAAATTATTATTAATGGAATCATAGCGTAGTTTTGTTAATAGAGAAAAAAGAAAATTGATGTTTAGTTAATTTGTTTCTCAGTTCCATTAATTCAATCCATGTTATTAGTTATTATTAATTTGTTTCTTAGTTTCAGTAATCTACTTTTATGTTACCTCTGTTAATATTAATTCAATCAATATTATTTTTATAAAGGTTAAAAATGTCAGATGTTAACTCTCAAGCACCAGTTAACTCTGAAGTACCTGTTAATTCTCAAATACCCGTTAACTCTCAAGTATCATTTGAGAGTGACGAGTCACAACATTTATCGCCAGCTACAAACTCACCTACGAACTCACCGTCTCCCCTCTCTAATCAAAATGTTATTGATTTAGAAGAGTCTAATACTACTTGTGGAGGAACTAAAAGAAAACCTAGTGTTGTGTGGGAACATTTTAAAAAACAACAAGTCATGGGGTGTGGAAGACAATATGTAATTATTGTAATAAGCATCTTGGGGGTGATTCAAAAAATGGAACTAGGCATTTGCATGATCACCATAAGAGTTGTACTAGGAAAAAAGTGATGGACGTGAGGCAAAAAGTGTTAACTAACAATTTCAGTAGAGAGATTCCAAAAATGAATTCTTATATTTTTGATCAAGATTTTGCTAGGAAAGAGTTGTCACATGCCATAATCTTGCATGAATATCCCCTCTCTATCGTAGACCATGTTGGTTTTAAACGATATTCAGCAGCACTTTAACCATTGTTTAAAGTGCCTTCTTGAAATACGATAAAGAGTGATATTTTAAAGATTTATGATTATGAGAGGGTGAAGACATTGAGTTTGACAGAGCATAATAAAAGTAGGGTGGCAATCACAACTGATATGTGGACTGCTAGCAATCAAAAGAAATGATTCATGGCTGTCACCGCACACTTTATTGATGAGTCATGGACATTGCAAAGTCGCATTTTGAGGTATATTTTTGTAAATTTGCAAATCATTTAAAAATTTTATCTTATTCAGTTCAATTTGCATGTTATTAATACTTGTTTATGAATATCATATTTTAGGTTTATTTATGTTCCATGTCCACACACAAAAGAAGTTTTTTGTGATACTTTGCTTGAGTGTATGATGGACTGGAATATTGATAGAAAAATCTCGACTGTTACTGTTGATAATTGCTCCACAAATGATGCCATGATTACCATGTTGATGGATAAATTAAATAATTCATCGCTTTTGTTGGGTGGTACTTTGTTTCATATGCGTTGCTGTGCGCATATTTTGAATTTGATAGTGAAAGATGGATTAGATGTCATACGAGTTGGTGTGGAGAAAATTCGAGAGAGTGTAGCTTATTGGACAGCAACACCAAAAAGAGTAGAAAAATTTGAAGAAACAGTCAACCAATTGCGTATTCCACATACTAAGAAATTAGGACTTGATTGTGCAACTAGGTGGAATTCAACCTATTTGATGCTTCAGACAGCCTTATTGTATAAGGATGTCTTTTCTAGGTTGAAAATTAGAGAGCCCCAATATAAGACTGTTCCAACTGAGCAAGAATGGGAGTTTGCTAGAGAGATTAGTGGGAGCTTTAAGATTTTCTTTTCTATCACAGAGTTGTTTTCTGGTACAAAGTATCCCACAGCCAATGTTTGTTTCCCAGCTTTATGTGAGATTAGGATGACACTGTCTCAATGGCTCTCTTGTGAAATTGTAGTGATCAGAACAATGGCATCAAAAATGGTGGAAAAATTTGATAAATATTGGTTAATGATACATGGTGTCATTGGAGTTGCAGTTGTACTTGATCCTAGGTATAAGATGAGTGTATTGGAGTTTTATTTTGAAGAACTTTATGGAGACAAAGCTGAAGATGAAGTTGATAGGGTTCGTCATATTTGTTATGATTTGTTGTAAGAGTATCAGCACCGAGTTGGTATGGAGACCGATGTTGTTGGTGACTCTTCTACTCATCCAGAAATTGTGACAGAGACCCTTTCAGAATTTGATTTGTTTATTAGTAGAAAGAGAAGTAAAAAAATGAAGAATGTAAGATCAGAGTTGGACCATTATCTAGAAGATGATGTTTTGCAAAGAACTTCAGGTTTTGATGTTTTGAATTGGTGGAAAGCTAATGGACCAAAGTATCCGACTTTACAGGCAATAGCTAGGGACATTTTACCTATTCCTGTATCCACTGTTGCTTCTGAGTCAGCATTTAGTACTAGTGGAAGGTTGGTGAGTCCACATCGTAGTAGACTTCATCCAAACACATTAGAAGCATTAATGTGTGCACAAAGTTGGTTGTGGGATGCAGAGATTAAAGGTATTATTTCATCCAATCTATATATTATTATTTCACTTTTATTGTTTATATTATCATGGAATAATTTCAATACTGAATTTATATTCTTTATTTTTTAGGAAATTCAACATTGGAATCGGTGGGCTATGCAACTATATATGATGATGATGAGATTGAGTCGGATGAGTCATGTGCTACTTTTGTGTTAGTTGTCATCTTTTTTGTTTTAATTGTTAACATTTTTTACATTTTATTATTAGTATTAATTATTTGTTTTTTTCCTTTGGTTATTTAACAAGAATTCAAGTTAAAGGAGATGATGGAAGTTGTTGTGTAGTTTGTATGGATATTGGAGAAACAATGGATTTCATTTTTTATGTTGTAATGGATATTTTTTTTTTTTATTTTTAATTTCAATTTTTGGATAACCTATCCCTTGCGGATTGTGCTTGGGATTAATTATTCTCTTTGCTACTTGTTGAATTTTCTTGTATGTGTGGTGGGTTGTGTATGGGCTGTTGAATTTTCTTGGACAAACAGGATGCTATTTTATCAGTTTTGTATGGCACTGTCTCAATGATGACACAGTCTCAAGGATGTTTTGTGTGTGGGTTTTGTATGGCACTGTTTCAATGTTTTGTGTGTAGGATGCAATATGCAATTTCACAAGATGTAATATGTATAATGTAATATGCAATTTCACATGCTACAGGTTGTGTATGACAATGTTACAGGATGTGCTACAGGTTGTGTATGACTTGTGTATGACTATGCTACAGGATGTGCTACAGGTTGTGTATGACAAATTGTTAGAGGGGTTGTCATTGACATGTAATATGCAATTTCACTGTTACAATTTTTTAATCCATGTTGACAAATATATTTTAGTCCATGTTTACAGATTTTTATATATCAAAAAAAAAATTAAAAAAAAAATAATCGGGGATTTTTCGAGATCGGGAATCCCTGATCCCCGATCTGGGGCGGGGGTGGGGCCGGGCTATGAGTCCCCGTCGGGGATCGGGGGCGGGGACGGGGCACATATAAGTTTCGGGGATCGGGGACGGGAAGTGTAGTCCCCGGCCCCGCCCCGGCCCGTTGCCATTCCTACCAGAGACGACCCATTTTTGACAAGGCTGAAAACTTAGACAAGCATACAGGATAACAAAGAGATGCGCCCGCAGGCAGGGGCAAGATGCAAATGACATACACAATGCGGAACATAATTTATGATCATGCAAAGAGAGCTATGATGAAGCAATTATGCAAAATAAATGCAACATTTTAAGCGAATGCTATGTGAAGAAATGCTATAGCAAGCTCGTATACAAGCAAGTAAACACGATCCAAACTACATCTTATGCAGAAATGATGTAAGAAAATCATGCAATCTTAGCGAACATGCATGATAGATACACGAAAGTGAACGAAGTGTGATAGATACACAGAGTGAGTACGTATGTGCGATAGATACACAAAGCGAGTGTAGTGATAGATACACTAAAGTGAACGTGTGATGGATACACGAAGCAAACGAAATGTGATAGATACACTAAGCAAACTTGTGATAGATACACTAAAGTGAACGTGTGATGGATACACAAAGCGAGCGTATGATAGATACACAAAGTAAACGTGTGATAGATACACAATGTGAGTGTGTGATAGATACACAAAGGGTGAACACAAAGTGTGATAGATGCACTTAGTGACCAAAGTGTGATGGATACACAAAAGGTGAACACAAAGTGTGATAGATGCACTTAGTGAACAAAGTGTGATAGATACACAAAAGGTGAACACAAAGTGTGATAGATGCACTTAGTGAACAAGTGTGATGGATACACAAAAGGTGAACACGAAGTGTGATAGATACACTAAGTGAACAAGTGTGATGGATACACAAAAGATGAGCACAAAGTGTGATAGATGCACTAAGTGAACAAGTATGATAGATACACTAAAGGTGAACACGAAGTGTGATAGATGCACTAAGTGAACAAGTGTGATGGATACACAAGAGGTGAACACGGAGTGTGATAGATGCACTAAGTGAACAAGTGTGATGGGTACACAAAAGGTGAACACGAAGTGTGATAGATGCACTAAGTGAACAAGTGTGATGGATACACAAAAGATGAGCACAAAGTGTGATAGATGCACTAAGTGAACGTGTGATGGATACACAAAGTGAGCGTGTGATAGATACACAAAGTAAACATGCGATGGATACACAATGTGAGTGTGTGATAGATACACAAAGTGTGATAGATGCACTTAGTGACCAAAGTGTGATGGATACACAAAAGGTGAACACAAAGTGTGATAGATGCACTTAGTGAACAAGTGTGATGGATACACAATAGGTGAACACGGAGTGTGATAGATGCACTAAGTGAACAAGTGTGATGGATACACAAAAGGTGAACACGAACTGTGATAGATGCACTAAGTGAACAAGTGTGATGGATATACAAAAGATGAGCACAAAGTGTGATAGATGCACTAAGTGAACAAGTGTGATAGATACACTAAAGGTGAACACGAAGTGTGATAGATGCACTAAGTGAACAAGTGTGATGGATGCACAAAAGGTGAACACGAAGTGTGATAGATGCACTAAGTGAACAAGTGTGATGGATACATTAAGTGAGTGAAGTGTGATTGATACACTAAGTGAATGAAGTGTGTTTGATACACTAAGTGAGGAAAGTGTGATTGATACACTAAGTGAATATGTGCAAGAGATACATAAAATGAGAATGTGTGTGATAGATACATAAAACGAGAATGTGTGTGATAGATACATAAAAGTGAGAATGTGTGTGATAGATACACGAAACGAGAATGTGTGTGATAGATACACAAAAGTGAGAATATGTGTGATAGATACACAAAATGAGAATGTGTGTGATAGATACACAAAAGTGAGAATGTGTGTGATAGATACATAAAAGTGAGAATGTGTGTGATAGATACACAAAACGTAATCAATCTTAAACGGAACTTTTCTGAATGAACCGCACATCCAATATCGCCTGGTTGCGCTAGCTTCAAATGAACCGTACATACAATATCGTGCATGTATGAGAAAGAAACTTGATAGGTACAATGCAAATACAATGCATGATGTTTAAGGAATGCAATAAACAAACACAGTGGCGCTTTAGAAAGCACCTCAGGGGATGAGTGGCGGTGAACCGCTCTACTCTGACGGGTCCCCCTTGTGTTCTTTGAACTCTTACCTTCAACTTGCAGTACAAAGGTTCTGAAATGCTGACAAGGATTCTTCATGTAGAACACTTGGATGCCACTTTCTTCCTGATCATATTCACAACTTTCCCTATTCTCTAACGGGGTGACAGACTAGGTTGGTTCAGTATCTAGAATCGAGGCGCATATCCACTACCTCAACCTATGGGGCTTCCATACAGATTTCAAGCCGAGGACACGCCTCTGGGTATTTAAACCACACTTTAGTCTCAGAAATCCTGAACCTTTGCATTCTAGGCAACAGCCATTCGAACTCTAGTTTCCGCCGTCGCAGTTGGTCTCCTAGGAACTCATTGCGAACACAGCCAAGATGCCTCTGGCAGGGAATGGTACTCAGGGAGAGCACTTCTGATCGCCATTCTGGCTTGAAGCAAACTTGATCTTGAGCTTGAGGTAGAGGCGCACTCACACTTCGGAGCATTGACAAGGCCTTGAAGAGGTACATCCGGAGTACAATCACGGAATTTTTTGAAGTTGAAACATACTCAGATGCTCCAAATTTTCCCTCTTTTATTTTGCTTTGCAGTCTGGAACCTATATAGCTTCAGATAGGTCCTGGTTTTACTGTTCTCACATGACCTGGGTTGAACCCTGCAGTTTTATGAAAGAACAAATCCTGTTTTGCACAAATGTAGAGAACGACACAGCACTCTGAGCACAAAACGATTTTTTTGAAATTGAAATGAGTTCTTAACCGGGTAAGCACTTGAAGAGATATGAAGACGACATATGAAGAGATAAACACTTGCATTAAATTAAATTTCTTATACAAAAGAGCAACAAATGCAACTATACATTCATAAGCCTAACCCTAAATTTATAACATGTGTTACATGGTAAGAAACCAAACGAAAGGTAAACAAATAAGAGAATGCCCTAAAGACTTACAATTTTCCAAGTTAGCACTTGGTTACAACAAAATGGATTTAAATCCCAATACATATAAAGCCCTTAGTTTGTACAAAACAAATACTCAATTAAACAAAATGAAGCTGTTGCTCCATGTCCTCACAAGCTATTGCCATCGCGGAGGCATATCATTTGCACCTGAAATGTTTTTCCCACATAGGGTGAGCCAAAACCCAGTAGAAATAATCCAACACAACATATGAATCTTAACAAAACTATAAGGGTAAAATGCATATGCAATGCTTATGACAAAGTATTTTATATTTCTTTCAAATCATGCCATGCTAGGTTTATATTACTATTTATGAAACACTTTCTTTTTTATGGAAAACCAATTTGTGAATACAACTCTATGAATCTCTAGTTACATGTCTGTTAGTAGGCTATACAAGCACTACTCTTTTGTTATTTTTACCGGTATTAATCGGAAGGCTCGACATCTACCTGCGCGGGTTTCTGGTCTTTCACCAAGGACACATAGGCCAACTTATCATAGTAACCACATCCCCTACCTAGATTCACCAAGTATTCACCATTTTCTCAAAACAATGCAATTATTACAAATGTGTAAATCTACGACAATGCTCGATGCAATAGATGAGAAATAGTTTTCATTCTCCTAGTCCTCATGCAATTTCTACAACAATCATGGCTATCCTCCACCGATAGCCTAAAACAGATATCTCTAAACAAATAAAATAATTTCCATAAAGATAAACTTTCCAATTTTCAAGATACAAGTGTTAATACATACCCAACTCCACCATCTTAATCAATAACAATTAAATTCCATATTTCCAACATCTATATCATTATTTATACAAAATCAACATTTAGGGCAAAACCCCTCTTCCCAAATCACTTCCAAATTTCAAAACCAACCATGATGTCACTTCCACACCTCATTTCCCAACCCCACAATTTGTCCCATGAAACCATTTGAAAACCCCTATTTTTAGTTTCAAACCCAAAATCCAAGATTTGTTCAAAAGTTCATTTCTTTCGCAAGGTGGTTTTATAAAAACGAATAACTAAGTTAAAGCTCATAAAGAGGTGCGAATAATCCCTACATCAAAGCATAGAAGGGTGAAAGAGAAGAACTTGGAACAACTCGACGTTAACGAAATCGCAAACCACTCGGATCAAAGGAAAGTTCTTGATGCAATCTACACTTTATCTTAAAGGATCAAGGTGAGAAGACACCTCTAAGTGAGTAGATCTAAGGATTTAAGTGGGAAAAAGTGAATGTTGAGAGAGAGAGAGAGAGTTACGGGTGAGAGAGGAAAAAAGAGAAACAACTTATGAGAAAAGAAGACTTTGGGTCTGTATATAGTGACTAGGTATTAGTGGAATAATAGTTCCAAGGTCAAATGAAAGAATAAGTCAAAAATTCTCAAAAAGTAGGGCCCAAGCAGAACAAGTGTTTTTGAGCATCAAAATCAGAGAGGGGTGACCCTCTCACCCCTTGTCTTGTTTACTAGCTTTCTTGGCCTTACAAGGGAGCCCCTATTTGCATGTTTTCAAGCCATGTTTCAGGCCATTATTTGTGAGTTTTATGACCTGCATGAACTCTTT